GGCCTTTACCCCTTTTTAATTGTTTAATATACTGAACAGTTTTGCCTTTTTCTTTCTTTCTTTCTTTCTTTCTTTCTTTCTTTCTTTCTTTCTTTCTTTCTTTCTTTCTTTCTTTTTTCTTTCTTTCTCTCTCTCTCTCTCTCTCTCTCTCTCTCTCTGTCTCTCTCTTTCCCTCTCTCTCTTTCTTAATGTTGTTTTGTATTGGTTTTATTATCTGCTTTTTATCAACTTTTTTTAGTATTTCTATTTTATATTTCAATTTATTGTATACTTTCTTGGCAACTCTGGTTAATAAATAAACCAGTCAGTCAATTATCTGTCTGTCTAAACACCAGGTAGAGAACTTTGTTAATTTGGTACTGTATGTCACGGGGTTTGGAAGAATTTTGAAGTGGATTCTTGATTGACTTTTTGATTTGGAGTGCAATCCTATGCATGCTTAGCATTAAACATGTTTCTGAGTGATGCACAGAACAAACTCCCAGATTGATAGAAATTCATATTCAAAGGCCAAGGATTTATTTCAAAAGTTATGAGTTACTATGTTTCATCAAGAGATGGCGCCAGAAAAACATGTAAACCTTTCCTGCTCCTGTTTCTAGGCTTGCCAGTTCTTTTTCCTGAATCAATAGATGGCGGTATGGTTGTATAAGAACAAGTTTCTCTGATTTAGCATTCTTGTTCATCATCATACAGGGTGCACAAGGTTATAGTCCACTACAGCTGAAAGGCACCAGGTTAGGCAATATTAATGTAGAATATAAGGGAACAAGGAAAGACAGTCTTCAGACCCTCCTCTGTTTCTGTGTCTTTTGGGTGGGCAAGTAGATTATGTAAGTAATGGGGGGGGTCTGTAAACCTCCAGATGTTGTTGGTCTATCTCTGTCCTCAACCTCGGCCAACATGTAGTCCAGCATCTTCAGGGCCAGATGTTTCCTATGCTTGGGACTTGGAAAAGCAAGAGGCAGCCACTTCTGAGGGCAAGCAGTCCAGCTTTGTCACTGAGAATGACTATCACTCGTTGAAGAAACTTGCCATGTCTGTAATATATCAGAGCTAACCATGTAAGATTTTACCTCAGGAAAAGAATTTCTGTATAAAATGCTTAAAATACTGTTTGTCCAGCATTAAATGAAAAATAATTTTTTTATTTAATTTCTATTAAGTATTCCAACAAATGGCTTTTTGACGTTAGGTCCTTATATGTGTGAAGTAGGATGTTACTGGTGCTTGATGCATCCTTACCTAGATTTCGGTCTAGATGGGCACGGTATAAATTGAATAAATAAATAAACGATTCTGCTGGGTCTGGAGTAGGGTTCTGTTGAATTCCAGCACCCACATTTGATGTCCCCTGCAGGTGGTGTCTGGACTCCATTGAAAAAGGAACCTGACCAAAAAAAACAACAACACAAGCTTACGCTCAAAGATCTTGCCTTATTGGAGGATTACAGTGGACTGGGCTGGGTACAGAAAGGTCTGCCTGCTATCAGAAATATTGTGGAAAACTTGTCTAAGGACTGTCCCAAATAATGGAGGAGGGTGGCTTTCATCTCTCAGTCCCTGGAAGAGCAGTAAGAGAAGCCTAAGAATGTCGATAAGAGATAATATTGAAACACAGAAAAAATATGCCTAATATCTCCTTAAGTACTTTCACTGCCGTCATTCTCTATTTGGTACATTTCCCTGCTTGAGTCAGAAGCATCACTGATTAAAAATCTGAACATAGTAATCAAAGTTGAGGAGAAGGCATTGTGAGAGAGATGTGTTGGAAGAATCCCTATGTCAATATGGGCCTGCTTATTCATATGTAAAAAGGTAAGCTTTACAGAGGAAAAACAGATCAACACATGGGATTTATAGTCAAGCACGAAAGAATAATCCTTTAGCTACACTCTAACCCTGAGGTCATTTAAAAGGTAGTGCAGCAAGATATTAGAGTGACAAGGATAGGTTTAGACTGAATCCACTCCCTTCTCTGCTTCTCAGATGGAAAGTCCCAACTATCAGTGAGGTTCTGCTCTCTCTGCTCCAGTCCCTGATTCCATCATGGAGGAGTGCCTCCATCTTGACAGACAGATCCTCAGGCTGGCCAGCCAAACCTGCCAGATCACTTTCTTACCAGCACTGAAAGACAGCAAGTGAGAACCAGTGTTGTGGTGCCAAGCTGCTGTGGTGATTAGAGCAAGGCTGGGAAACTTTGTTGTGGAGGAACATTTCCACCTGGGGGCCCACTGCCTGACATAATTAGTTTACTGTTTGAAATGTTGCATGAAACTCTTCCAGTTTGTGTTTATACCATAATGGCTCTGGCCAGGATATGTGCCATGTAAAGCAGTGAATCTCACAGCCTTTGGGACTTCTGCTGTAAGCCGTGCCATTGCAGCACAGCTGGTTTAATTTATGCTGCACCTTCCCAATGAAAGAGGACTGGGGTGGGTGAAGCACTCAACTGCTTAGTTTCAAAGAGTAATCCTTGTGAATTTGTGGTTCCATTAGGAACTGGCTTCAGTTCCCCTTGCACATTTTCAGCAGGGAAGGCATGTTGGAAATGAGTGCAAAACCATGAGATACTCTTCTTGGACTTCATGGGTAATTTGTAGCACTAATGGTGCAACCACACAGCAGGGGGAAATGCAAATAGATCTGCTGTGAATTCATACCTGGGAAGTTGGGTTTCAGCTTGCCACACAGGAATCAACAGAGAGAGGGGGGAAATTTGCACTCAAAAGCCTTGTTTGCAACTTGTTAAGATAGTCAACTCTACACTAGCTGTCTAGATTTTCAGGAGGCACAGTTAGACTAGAGATATCTTAACAAGCTACAAACGAGGCTGATTGATAACTTCTTTCTCTCTCAGCTGAATCCTTGCTTTTTTTTAAAAAAAATGTGATCACCTAGTTGTTGCATTAGGATATTAAGCCTTTAGAAGAAAAAGAAGGGAGAGAGAAATTGAAGGGAAGGGAAGAAGAAAATTACTGAGGTGCCACATTTGGGGAGGAGAGGATTCAAATGGCAGCCAGTTTCCCTCCTACCCTGCCTCTCTCACTTATCCTGCGGCTGCCTGGAATGGTCCTAACCCCTGCTCAAGCAATCACATAGTCTGAACTGATATGAATGCATTCAATTCCAAAAAAGTATAAGCCCCAGTGGTGTGGAAAAAGACTATGGATTGGGGTGGAAAAGCTCTGGGCTGATTCATAATGACCTTTACATCAATAGAAAATAATGTCAAAATCACCATCCTAATCCCAGAACATTTGTCAATGTAGTCACATATAATTTTAAACGAGTTTAAATTAGTTTATGTCACTAGAGAGCAATAATTCTTGCATGCATTACTTGAAAGTAAGGAAAGGTAGTAACTGATGAGTGGTGTGAAGGAGGTGATCCCGAATAGAATCATTCTAAAACTATGAAGTACATGTTCCACATTTTTTAAAATTTCTATAGAAATATTTTTCAGAAATGTAATAGTGTGAGGTTTGAGTGGGGAGGATCTGTGTAGAGGATACTTGGCCAAGAGCCAGGGAAGTTCTATGTAGCTTGTCTGCAAACAACACCTGGTACATTTGTGCTGGCACCTACCCCCTCTCTGGGTTCTCCTAAACCATACTATGGGATACTTGCAACTCTTCCCCACTTCCCAGAATCCCGGTATTCAGCCAACACATCCACCAACCCCTTCCTGTGGCTCTTTTCTGGCTGCATATCAAAGTTCCCTCTAAGGCATGCAGACAACTCTGCCTCTCTCCATGCAACTTTCTTCCTCCCCTGCGCAGTGGTAGTTTTCAGCCCTTTTGGTTCTGGTTGTGGTGGAACCCCACATGAGTTGTGCAAGAAAGAGGCAGAGCCATGCCCAGTAGGGCTGAAAACTAGAGGGTACATTGCTGCACATATAAGAATCCTTCCCTAATTGGGGGTGTTCTGAGACAGCTCAGTTGGTTCACCCCAACCCTCGAGCAAAGTCTCACTGCACTGTGTGTGCATCCCCATGGAAGGAACATTTTCCTTGGCTTTCGGCTGCATCTACTCCTGCTCTGGGTATGGGACTCCTTGGGGCTGCAAACCAATAAGGGATCAACAGAAGCGGAACAAGGAAGGAAGGAAGGAACAATGGGGGCGATGGGCTGGAATGCAACTTGCACCACAACCAACTTAAGTGGTAAACTCCTGAATCAATCCACAGCCCCTACGTGGGTGTTGTTTGCTCTTTCAGTCGTAGTACAAGCTGCGAATCAAATTACAGCAAAGCCAAATGGTTCTGATTCAGCTTTCCAATGTAGCCACACTCCAACAGCATGTGTTGTGCCTAAACGTTGTAAATCACCTACAAAGATAGGTTTTAAAGGGGGAAAGAGTAGGAGGGTGGGAGCTGAAGACCCTCACATCAGAACTAGTTTTTCTGCCCAACTGAACTTTTTTAAAAAAATGTCTATTGGAGTGGGCTGCATGAGGAAAAAATGCAGTGAACAGAGGAATGTTCCCTACCTCCATCTTGCAAACTGTTTTTCCTTTTGAGAATTATACAGATATGTACATACGTAACATCTGTCTGACAGCAACCTAGAGTCTAAGACACCAGTCACAAGTTGGCTTAACTTTACCAACTATATTTCTAATTCAAATCCCTTAATATATGTGTGTGTACTTCTTATTTGGATGACACAAGGGTTTAACAGCACGCATGCATTTCTGTGCGATATTGTCATGCTATCCATTCAATGTGCTTCCTTCCTGTCTGTCCCCAAAGTGTTTACCAGAACAATCTGTTGCTAGCTAGCTGCAAAACCATTTCCTTTCTGTAGTCTGTTTCCCAAGCTTCGCAGTGTTTTACACTGGTTCAGTCATGTTGTTCTTTTTGAATTTCAGAAGTAATTTTAATAATGTATGTTGCAAGACACAGAAGTGATTGTTGTTCTGGAGTCAGTCTGACCATTTTTTGCAGGGATTGTGTCTATTACGATTTATTTATTTTTTTTGAAGTTTCTAGAATGATGCTTTTGTTGTGTCAAGGTTTTCAGTAATCTAATTTCCTGGTTCCACCCAAGTGTAGTTCCTTCCTAAGGGAATGGTATGTGTATTTTGCCTTTTATCCTTCTCCCCATCCCCCCAAATCCAAAGAAGCCATCAAAAGGTTCCATTAGGGCGCTGCTAATCTCTGTAACCATCTCTTTCAGGATTAGAGGGTGTAGCCCATTTAGTCTGGAGTTTGAAGCTGTCATGCTGTGTTCAAATGGAATTGCAAATGGCCTTAATTTCCCAGTGTCACTCTCCACACCCTAGAGATGTCATTCAGCTGCAGCCTCCATGCACACACTTTGTATGGGATATATTTTGTCTAATTTTTCTGCCCCAGTTAGGAGGCAGTTCCTTTTCTAAATGAATACCTGAATTATTTCTCTTTTAGGCATTCATGTTTCTGATACATGCTACAATATATATATGGGAGCTCAGTGGTTCAGGTATCTGGCTGCAGAACCAGAGGTTAGATGCCCCCAGAAGAAGGGGATGGTAAACCACTTCTGTATATTCTCTGCCTGCGAAACCCTGGAAAGGGTTGCCATAAGTCAGAACTGACTTTATGGCACATCATCATCATCATCGTTGTTGTTGTTGCTGTTGTTTTGTTATTGTAATTGTTATTGTTATAATATAAGCTTAGTTAGAAGTAAGGCCTGCCAATTAAGTCCACTTAAGAATTCGGCCTTATTTTACAGTCCTAGCTGTGTCTACTCAGTTGTAAGTACTTTAAAGTAGGTAGATGAAGAGTTGTAGCTTTACAGCCCTTAGGAGCTCAACCTAAATTTCAGGGGGACAACTGCACCAGCCCAAAGACGCCTATGGTACTCAGTTGTGAAAACTAAAATCTTCCCTATAACTTTTTTTATCCAAAATGGGGTGGATGTTACTTCTAAAATGTGTTTTTCAAGTCTGTCTATATGTTCTCACCCACCTCACACTTTAAAATCGACTATGAGGTTACTGAACCCAGGATGCTGGGGGTTCAGGAGAGTCTATATCCCCACCCCCCTGCAGAAAACCAGTAGGTTAGGACAGTTTTCAACCACATAATGGCATAAAAAAAAGAGAGGGAGGAAGAAGAAAAAAAATGTTACTAGGTTTTCCATAGCCATGGCCAATGGCACTGATAGATTATCTGGAGTCCGGAAGTCTGTAATTTACCACTGCTATCAGGAATTTGGGCCTGGGTCATCAGACAGGGTGTGTGCCAATGTAAGCCTGACTAAACCATCTATAAAACTTATGAGATTGGCAAGAATTAGGGACAGGAGCTTTTCCATGGTGATCCTACATCTTTGGAATGCTTTTCTCAGGAATTATATGTTGCCTCTATTTTTCTGGCCTTCCCCATTTGCTTTTGGCTGTTTTTAACATACTGTATATTTAATTAAGGTTTACTGTGCTGTGTTTTTGACTAAAGGTTTTACCTGTGCCAAATTAGTTTCCTTGGCTCTTAGCTTTCATCACATTGGTTCGGAACGCGTTGTCCTGTTTTGATTATATTGCCCTGAAAAGCAGATTAGAAATCCATTAAATTAAAATTTTTAATTTAATGGTTGAAATCCAGTAGTAAATTGCTACTGAATTAGGCTAATTGAATCCATGGAACTTACATTGGTGTTGATTTACCAAATCCCCACTGATACAATGGGCCTACTCTAACTGTGACTATATATATGCAGATCTAGATCATCCTTTGTTTGAAGACCTTCAGTAAGGGAAACCCCTGCCCTACCCAATAATTGGTTCCATTATTAAGTTCCTCTTACTGTGAACAGGTTTATCTTAAAATTTGAAAGAAATCTGTCATGCAACTTAAGTCCATGCAAGATAGTCCTGTCATCTGGGGTAGTAGAAAACTAGTTTCTGCCCTTTTCTGTGTGACAGCCCTTCAGGTATTTCCTGCTGTCATCCCTCTCCTTAATTTTCTCTTTTTCAGTGTAAACATACCCAGTTTCTTAGATCTTTCCATGGATCGATTTAGCATATCAGACAGGACTGTTTGTATTTCCTTGCTTTATTTTAATGGTAAAGGTTCCCCTTGACATTTAGTCCAATCGTGTCCGACTCTAGGGCGCGGTGCTTATCCTCGTTTCCAAGACATAGAGCCAGCATTTGTCCAAAGACTGTTTCCATGGTCACATGGCCAGCGCGACTAGACACGGAAAACCATTACCTTTCCCACTGCGGTGGTACCTATTTATGTACTCACATTTTTACATGCTTTCAAACTGCTAGGTTGGCAGGAGCTGGGACAAGCGACGGGAGCTCACTCCATCGCGTGGATTCGCTAGTACGACTGCTGCTCTTCAACTGTTAGCTACCAACCCCAAATGTCATAATTAAATGGCAAAAAAAAAAATCAACATTGGACTTTTTTTGAAAACAGTTTTAAATATTCTTAGCAACGAAAATGTAACTGCTTAAACACAAGGAAGTTTTGGTAGCTTTACCAGAGCAGATTAGAGGATATAGCAGCAGTTGCCATAAAATCTTTCTTTTCTTCATTTTAGTTTCCTGACAGAACAGGCATGATGTTGCAAAGTGAAATTCAGGCAGGTGTGCCAACCATCTTCAATTTCTGGACACTGAACACCTGTGGGCCTACAGGACCATACACTCCTGCTTGTAAAAATTTCTATTTCTGAATAACAGGTTAGGAAAAGGGTGGGGAGAGCAATTTAACCCCTTCCTCTGCCTGATAAACAATGGGAGAGGACTGTAGGAACAGTGAGGGGTTATGTGTTAATGAATAACCAGGATACCTGTGGGGGAAGAGACCTAGATGACTCCTCCCAAACATCTGGCAGCATTACCAGTTTTAAAAAAGAGAGCGGTTTCTTGTTTTGGGTTATACACCTTCTGGTTATGTATCACCCCATGGAGTTTTTTTTTTTAATGAAGCAAAGACTTTTGGGGGATTTAAACCTTGGAATGGGGTCTCATCTCTCAGGCTGGTATATTTAATTCTGCTTATGAAGCCTACAGGCCAATCTCTAACAAAGTTTTGCATTACTCAGTGTCTTCTGTATTGTGTTATCATCATCATTACACAATCATATTCAGGGCTGGGAAAATAATACCCATCATTCCAACATGATTTGTGGTTAGGAAGGCCGCCCTGAAAATGGCATAGCATTTTATGCAAGTTGCCCAGCCCATGTCCCAAGGTTACAGTCCTCTAAATTACTTTTTTTTTTTTTTTGGAGTGGTTCCATATTAACACATTTGCATTAAATATTTGGAGGACTGAAGCACACAGTCATGTATTAAACTGTTGCTGTTTTTCTTCTGAACAGACTTGATTAGCTGTAATTAATTCTAAATCAGCCAGCCAACAATAAAAAACCAAAGCCTCAAACCACCTAGTGTTACATTTGCTACAACTTGCATATTCTCCTTATTACCAGTTATCTAATTTGTCATGATGGAGCTGTACTGGAATGAATCCTCTGAGGACTTCATGCAAGGGAGCAGTTGCACGCTGACATCTTGTGCATCATAAGCAGGTAAAAGAACTTCTGAACCTGTGTATAAATATACCGTAAGTCTGTGTCCTTCCCATTGAGGATTGACAGTGGTAGATTGTTTTTCCCAAAGAGAGCATGCTCCACTCCATGGGAGTCATAATAGCTCACAGGAATGTTGGCAGGATCATCCAGGTAAAGGCAATTAAGGTATCCTTGCCTGTCTGGAATGTGCTTGGAGCAACCATTGGCTGGTTGGAAGGAATGTGTCCTGTTTTTTTTTCTTACTGGAGTTTGCTAGGAGTTGGCAAATATGTCTGTGTTCTGAAAGAGATTCTATTTTGTTTCACATGAAGACAAGATGTTTTAACAGTTCTACTGTATTCTGATAGAACAATACCCACAATGCCCTGCCTCCATCTCAAGGCTAGCAAAGGGGCTACAGCTATACTCGCAGCTATACTAGTGTAGGCCACAGGGAATGGCCAGGCTTGGTTAGAACTAATCAAGGCTGACTGTTCACATAAAAATAGTTCCTTCCAATATTATGAAGTGGCTTAATAAGCAAGCCATTTCAGTATATTGGCAAATTAATCACTTCCCCTGTTCGGCAGAGGTCAGGAGAAATGGAAAAAAATGTTTTGGCTGTCTATAGACTATTGCTGATGCTCTGCATCGGTTATAATTTTAAAATGTATCTTTTTTTCTCTTTTCTTAAAGGGCTGGTTGAGAAACTGCCTGTAGTCAAAGCCACCACCATGGATTCAACTATGGAAAGTTTCTTGACCAGTCCTTTAAGATGAGGGAAGGAAAAAGTTTTTTTTTTAAAAAAATATATAACTGATATAGTGCATCAGTGATGGTCTACACACACAATCAAGTAATTTATTTATTTATTTTACTTTCCCTACCCAATACTGAGCAGGAGAAATGATTAATTTGCCAATATCCTGAAGTGGCTTGCTTATTAAGCCACTTCACAATATTGGCAAATTGAAAGAAAAAGGCTTGCTTTGGATCCGTTCCAGAAATCACATGTGATGGAACCCATTGAAACCAGAGATATCTTACTTGTACAAGAAAAGTAGAAGCCCCTTGACTGGGGCCAGAAAGATGTCAATAGGAATACTCTTGGGGTGGGCTGGTGGGCTCTAGCAAAAACATCACCTCATCTCTGTCTTTAAGACAGCACCAGCCTGTCCCTGCAGTGCTCCAAAAGCAGGCTGAACAGCCCATATAGTCAGGCTCTTAGCTGCATTGTCTTCTGTGGCTAGAAAAGGAGAAATTATCTACACCAAAACACCTGGCTACAAATTTTGTAATTGTTTTATGTTAAACCCAGCAGAGGCCCTCAGGGATCCATCTTTCCTCATGGAAATTACACACCTGGTTTTACCTGCTCAGCATGCTTCAGTGCCCATTCTCAGTCTACTGATTTGATTTCAAAGCAGCTAGCAGCTGCGCATTTCCTGTTGTCACTGGCCCTGCCAACTTCTACCAGCACCTAGGAACCAAGAGCCACAGAGTTTTCATTGTGATCCTTACATATGAGGTGAAAGTGGCAAAGGAAAAATGGGTGGGGTAGGAGGGGTGCTTAACCTTTTTCCTGACCCTTCATTCTATTCTGCAAACTAATGGGCTGAACTGAAAAGAGAGTAGTTTTGTTCTGCGAACTAATAATGGGCTGAACTGAAAAGAGAGTAGTTTACTGAAGTCCACCTATTACCCTCTTGGTAGTAGGCAGGTTTAAACCAGGGACTTCATGATTTGCTGTTAATTTTCAAAGCCACTAAGAGACATTGTTTATATTTCTAGTTTTCAGCTGCTAGCTGAGGGGAAATGTTTCAAAACCTGTTCGATACAGGAAAGATAAAGCACTATTCCAACCTTTTTTTGGAATTACAAAGGAAACTGGACTTTGAAAACCTGTATTTCCCTGAAATACATTGTGAGGGAAATACAAGTTCTCAAAGTTTAGCTTCCTTTCTAATTTTAAAAAGGGTTGTAGTAGGACTCTTCCTTTGCTGTATCCCGTCTTGACCTAGTTTTTGAAACATTTCCTTTTGTTCAGCAGCTGAAAACTAGAAATATACATGATGTCATTTGGTGACCAAGAAAATCTGCCCTCGAGACTTTTGATTTTTAAAACAAGAATAAATAGTTCAGATAATCAGTCTTATAGAAGACCAAGTTTGAAGAAATATGCAGAATACGATCTTATCTCTCTCTCTCTGCCATTATCCATTTACACTGTGCTGAAAATTTCCTCCTAGAAAAGGAAGTAGTGTTTATTTATTATTTTTATTTGTTTATTTTATTTATATCGCGCCTATCTGGTCGGCGGCTAGGACCACTCTAGTATATTATAAGACTGTTCTGGTTGTGGGATCTGTGTGGAATATACCTGGGAAATGAAAACATAGAATGTCATATTTTTAAGCTGATTGACCTGTTCTTAAAAGATGCTATTGATGACAGTAGAGCAATATTTTGTGTAGTTGTAGCACTAACAGTACACAAACAGTACATGCAAGAAATCAAGACAGGAGAGATAGAAACAGAAAGGTGCCATCATGTGACTGGGTCCAGGGCAGAGAAAAAGAATGCAGGAATGAGCCAGAAAATGATGGACTAAACAGAGACAATTCGTTCATGGGAGGTTATGGAGGGTGCTGATTTGGCTGAATGGAGGAAATATTAGAACTGTACAATGGCGACAGCTGGCTGGCTAGATCAGTGGTGTAGGTATTGGAAGTTAGGAGTTTGATTCCCCACTGTTATCTCCTGTGAGTGGAGCCAACCTCTGTGGTCTTGGGCAAGCTGCACAGTCCCAAGGCACCCCAAGAAAAAGGGAAGGATAAACCACTCCTGGGTATTTTCTACCTGGAAGACCCTGAAAATGGGTTGTCAATGGTCAGAATTAACTTAACAGCACATGGTTATGTATTATTATTAACAATGATGACAAAAAGAGAGAACAAGGTGAAAACATGGGCTGGGAGTTGGAGGATACGTATGGGAAATACAGAAGAAAGTGCAAAAGAATCAGTACAATGATAGATATTTACATGTTCTGTTGATCCTGTATGGGGCAGAGGATTGTGTTAGGCACTCATCAGCCACAAAAGGAAGAACAAGAAACAAAAACAAAATGCTTGCAGTCTTATAATTTATTCATTCATTCATTCATTCATTTTATATCCCACCCATCTAGACTGAAGTCTACTCTGGGTGACTAACAATACAAAGAATAAAATAAAACAACAATATTAATACAATTAAAGACGGCAGTATAAATTAAGTATTGACAGGAGGGAAGGCCTGCCTGAAGAGCCAGGCCTTGAGTTGGCTCTTAATCACACCAAACACCAACACATGCGTACCATTGCTAGCTTACAAACAATGTGAATTGAATGCAATGTGTGGATTGCATATAACTAAATACAAACATTGTATTGGTTCATTACATGTTTTCCATTAAGGTGCAGGGTGTTGAGTAGGTTCTCTAGCCATGGGCTATGGAAGTCCTTGTATCTCGCATTCAGTGAATTCTGTCATTAATTAGACTTCTTAAATGATACATAGGGCTCAAGATAATGATAAGTTACCGCATGAGACATTTATCCTTGTCTGAATCAACTTCACAAATATTGTTCCACCTATATTAACATTTATTTCCTTATTAAGGAAAACAAATGGCTCCTGCAACATCTTATATTATTATGGTGTTGAATGCTCCTATTCAGTGTTCCTGCCAGACTCCTCCATGTCCTCTTTCAGTTTCTCCTTCGTGGTCTCTGTGAATGCACACTAATGGGTTAATCTGCGCCTGAGCAGAGCAGGTTTGGGACCTTCTAGAGCTTTTAAGCATATGGTGCTGGGACCTCCCACCTAGGTTATATCATATCCTCCAGCACCAGGTGCTTCAGTTCCATTTCTGCCGCCGCTTCAGCAGCATCGTGAACCGGAGCTTCTCTTTCCCTTGCAAAACCTCTCTTCTCTTGGATCTCCTCGTGTGTTTGACCTACAGCTTGCTTGATGATCCCTTTGTAATTGCGAGTTGGACTTTAAAGCATAGAACTGTGTTTTTCTTCTGTTTATGGCCACGTCGGGGCCTTTCAAGCATTGTACCACTTGCAATGAAAAAGTTCCCTTCTCAGATGACCATTCTTTGTGTCTTTTTTTGTTTGGGAGAGAAGCACTAAACTGACTCCTGCTCTCACTATAAAGCCTTTACCAAACCAGCTTTAAAACAAAGGTTTCAGTGGTTGCATTCTCACTTGTGGGAACAATCTGTATTTCCAACTTGTTAAATGGAGCTGTTGAGTACACCTGTACCGGGAACCCCTTCGACTACAGCTCCTTCTCCAGTGGAAGTTCACAGGGTCCTAAAGTCCACCTCCTCGGGCTCGAGATCGACCGTTTTGGCCTCGATGTTGAAACCTCTGTCAGCCTTGGGGTCGAAGAAGAAAAAGAAGTCTACGCTGACTAAACCCTCAACTCCATTGTTGTCACCAAGTTCGGTGTCTCATCCACGGCGCGATGCGGTGCCCATTCCATCAGGGGATGAGTGTGCTCCCCCCTCAGGCCCAGAGTTACTGTTCTCACCACGGTCAAGCTGTCCTCCTGAGTCGAACAATTCCTCAGTTGAGATCGTGCAGGAGGCTCTAGCCAGCCCTCGATCTTCTAAGGGCTTGGCGTCGGAGACACCCAGAAAGAAAAAGAAAAAGACTCATCATCTCAAGCTCGCTACTGATCGTGCTCGACCTCCAACGGCAAATCGTGGGGCGCCTTGCTGGAATGAATCTTGGGAATTCTACCGGCCCTGAGGTTTTGGCTTTGAAGACTAAAGCTACCCTTTCCCATTTAACCCAATGTTGTTTCAACATTGGTCTCCCTTTTTTGGAACTTAACCACCACCTCCATTCCAACACTCCTTGAAGAATGTTTACTGGGAACAGCATTCTCGAGACCAGACTCATCGGGCTCGACACCGGCAGCCAGAGTCTTCCACT